CAGTGATTATTGGACCTTTAAAGAGTATTCTTAGGAAGTTTCAGCTGAATCCAAGTTTGAGCGATTTTCGTCGTAGTAGCACTTTAACTGGTATCCGTTTATTGAAGCACAAACCACTGGACCGCCTCCGTTGACAATAGAGTGACCACAGTAAATCCGTGAAACTTTAGTAATACTAAATAGCACAATTTCATGCAAATTCCATTGTTTTCTATTGTTTAACTACCACTATTTTGTACTATTTAGTAATTAGTGTTTCACGGATTTACTGTGGTCACTCTAGTATGCCGCGTTATAAATTATATTAAACTAACATTTGTAATGATTCTCTTGGTTGCTCACTCGAGTGAGAGCTAGTGATGCTAAAATGCTGACGTTTTGAGCGTCACGTTTTTTACGACTTCCTCTCGATGAGATGCGTTAGCTCGTGATTCAGCAGTTAAGGTGGCTCGACCTCGAGATTTTTTCAAAAATCCCCACAAATGGAGGCATCCAGTATATAATTATGTGGTACGAAGCATTTTAGTGTTGAACGCTCCGCAAGGCTAAATTTATTTTCTAAACGAAAACAAATATGTCATCCTAATCACGTGTTATGACGTCCGATCTCACTAAAAACTGCATCAAATATTAATTCAATCTTTATGTGAATTATGTGCAAAAAAGATTTGCAATCGGATAAAAGACGTTTATGCACTAGCGTTCCAAAAGTGGAGGGTAGCGGTCAAGCGTGAGGGGGTCGAGCCACCTTAATTGAATATATCCCCGGTATATATAGGAATAATCGTGTTTTTTGAGAATATCCTTTACATAAGTGATGAATAGCAAGTTTACCAGCCGAAGAACGGAAGGGCATATTAACAGTTATAATATCATTCTGACGTCATTTGTTTTTCTTGATACTCTGTATCGTTATTCAACCATGCTATCTTCTATTATTAGCATTTTCAGTTTGCAAATATTCTAAACAAAACTTCATTCACATCACATTTTGAAAGCGAAAACATATAATGTCTTTACCACATAAAAGTCTCAGAAGTACTAGACATTAATCTGATTTGCTATTTTGTCGGACAGTTCAGTAATGTATTAGGAAATACGATAACACGAATCGCTTTTAAATATTTCGATACCATTCGTCAGTTCTTTAAGACAGTGAATTATTCTATGCGGAAGTCAAGGTTAGTCGTAGCGTCAGTCGTATGAAAATTCTTTATAAGAAACTTCGACAGCCAATAAGTTTAACTCTAATTTGAAATTGTAAATTAAACACCTGTTATCGGGTAAGTATCTCTTACTGTTTGTGATAGACAATTGATATTCTTTGACAATTTAGTGAGCAGTTTAGTCACATTTTCTGTTACAACATTGTGTTATAGAACGAAGCTATTTAACCAAGACAAYCAAACYTGCAAGACAATTCACAAGAACTCCAGCGACATRCAGCAGGACAAGAAGTAAGGATGTATGTTACTGCTTGGTAAAGCTGCACACTGAAGWATTGCTCAAGGTGATCGAGAAATRAAACACCTGCAATAATGAATAARAACTTGKTCGYCTTTCTTTTATCGTTGTGGCAAGGACTTCTAGCAGAGGAATACTCYATTCAACGCAGARTCACGRAATCAKGGAATGTWCTRCCAGACCKGTTCGTATTACCTCCATCGATGTGTTCTGCCGACAATGCAACAGTACARTGTACTACYATGGGTGGCAAACTTGTCGGCAGTAATAATGGATGCACATGTGAATGTAACGATGAAAAAAGTACTTTTGCATNNTTCTTTGACAATTTAGTGAGCAGTTTAGTCACATTTTCTGTTACAACATTGTGTTATAGAACGAAGCTATTTAACCAAGACAATCAAACCTGCAAGACAATTCACAAGAACTCCAGCGACATACAGCAGGACAAGAAGTAAGGATGTATGTTACTGCTCGGTAAAGCTGCACACTGAAGAATTGCTCAAGGTGATCGAGAAATGAAACACCTGCAATAATGAATAAGAACTTGTTCGTCTTTCTTTTATCGTTGTGGCAAGGACTTCTAGCAGAGGAATACTCTATTCAACGCAGAATCACGGAATCATGGAATGTTCTACCAGACCGGTTCGTATTACCTCCATCGATGTGTTCTGCCGACAATGCAACAGTACAATGTACTACTATGGGTGGCAAACTTGTCGGCAGTAATAATGGATGCACATGTGAATGTAACGATGAAAAAAGTACTTTTGCATACTACAACAATTGGAAGTGTATAGACAATACTAAATTTCATAATCTTGGTGGTAAGCTGCATGGTATTCCATTGGTTCATAATTTTATTAATGTCTCTGCGTGATTCATAATCGCACTGCAATTTATTTTATAAAACTTAGTGGCTCATGCACTACAATATTGAAATATAATTATTGTCTTTGAATGCTCACTTGTCTCCTTGCATGATCTCCTTTCTTTGCGACGTCATGGGATTGAACAATCAACCTATTCGATAACCTCGCAAAAATGGGAATTTTCTTTTGCGAAAGCTATTCGTGATAACAAAACCTATATCATGACCAGTCGTTCGGGAAGCACTGGGGCGAGAGAGCGTGTGTCGCCATAGGTACAGACAAGCTTAATATTAAATCAACCATCTATGATTGTAATCTATAATATATCTTAAAGTTTTGAATTGCTCCAAAATACTGGTATATCTATAGAATTTAACGCAGATTACATAGGCTAACTCTTTATTTGGTTATTTTCTAGAGTTCCGTTAAAAATGGGGACGGTCAATTTATTTTTTATTTTTTTCAATATAACATAACCTATTTTTGACAGCTTTCAGTGTTTACGCTGTTAGCGCGTTTTTACCGTAAAAAGGGTGAACCGTACTTTCACGTCTGACACCAAAACGAAGTCGGTGACGCCCAATTTTTACTTGCTTATTTTACTTCTAGTATGATCTACTTTTAGATCATACTAGAAGTATGATCTAAAAGTAGATCATGACTATGGGATCTTTTGCCTTAAATAAACAAAACTGACTTGCATTTTTTCTAGGTTGTTCATTGGTAATAAATAATTGGAATAATAGAAATGCTAGAAGTCAAGTTATAGCCATAACCAGAATGGCGTCTGCAAAATCATATATCTTTCTACCAACATTAAAGTCGTCTTCAAACTGTAGTGTAACCAACAAAGGTAGCTATCTTACATGCAGTGGAACCTGGAGACAACTCAGTAGTGGATTGGTTCACGAAACATTCATTATGTATGTGCCGCAAGGCTTCAACAACTGGTATCTTTACGTAAGTGTCAAAAAGTAGTTATTCATTGATTGGCTACTGTTATTTTTCATATCAACCAATAATTGATGTAGTCCAATGAAAAAACAATGGGAATGACAATACTTGCTTTTGTATATTCATATAGAACAAAAGAAGTCTCGATGATATGGAAGGTCAGGTTATACGACTTAATATTGATTGTCAATCCCATCAATATTGTGTAATAATGAAAGTAGAGGGAACACTTCATTGTAAGTATCTGAGTGAAAATCACAATTGTGTTTCCTTATTTCAAATAGAGAAGGACGATAAAAATAAAATAAAAAATAGGATAAAGAAAAAATATAAAACAGGAAGTTTAGTCGAACTAAGGAATTTCCGATAATACAACGTTAACACCAGCTAATTGAAACATCAGGTCCATTACCGCCTACTCCATCACAATCAGCTACAGAAGTACCATCAACAACACAGATACAGCCACGGCCACGGCCAACACCATTACCAATAACAATAGCAACAATTACCACTATAAAACCCAAAACAACTCATAGGACGTCACAAGAATCAGTTCAAACACCGATAAATGTAAGTACTACCGGAACAAATTACAGCAGATCATTTACTGCAGTAAGAGGCTTATTTGTTTTAAAAAACAAATTTATTCGTTCTTAAATGTCTCACTGGTAGACCTTTTGTTATTTTTAGAATATATTTTGTGATATAACACTAGCTACTTCTATATTCTGTAGATAACATCTATCTCTGTGAAAACTGACCGCAAGAAAAGGGCTAGTAAAGATAAGAGTGAGAGCGGCCTGATTGCAGGCGCACTTGCTGGTATTATTGGACTGGCAGTCATAGCAAGTGCCATCATTGTGATGATAAAGATACGTAAGAAAGGGTGAGCAATCAGTGAAAGGTTACATCCCGTAACAAGTTCTTAACATTGCGTTTTTATGCGTTTAATTTAATATTTAACTTTACTAAAACTGTGCGTAGGAAATCTGATGAGCAAAGAACAGACACTGTTGGTAAGTACGAATAGAGGATACAAGAATAAATCAAAGGCAACACATTATCACGTAATGTATTGTCATTGATCATTTATTGATTTTACTAAAATAAAACATTAAAATATTTATAAAAAAATACAGTCAAATTTAATTGCATTTTCACTCAGATAATGCAGGTTACGGGCGAGGTGAAGATTCCTTGAGGTTCAACCGTAATAAGTCTTCACCTGATGAGGACGAATATTCGTATGCTTACAACAATGCTGCCCCTTTTGTGAAAACTAACAGGCAAGACCTGGAAAGTCATACTAACYATGATCAAGGTAAAAGTGAATAACAGTGTTGAACAAGTGGAAGGACTTTTTACCCCTTATCTAGTTATTTTGATGTCSATAGCTCTGGTATTGATATCGATATTTCACTAATACAGATGAATTTATATTATCGGTATCGTTATCGATAAAAATCAAAATCATTGATATCAATTATGAGTTTATCTAGATTCCATAATTATACTGGTCATGGCAAGGAAACACTTCAGTAGATATTAGGGTTAGAGATTTATACTCACTGCAGAATTTTTAATTTCAATTATTAGAACCAGGAAGTTCTGTGGTAAATCACGTTTACGGTCAAACGGATAGCCTAAATCAAATTGCATCTGCACCCTACGCAGAGGCTCCTGTATACAATACCTTGGAAGAGGCA